TAGTTATCAGCCATCTAATAAGTGGAAAAATATGGTGATTATTTTTAGATGTGACTGTGGATGCAGCAAGTTATTTAGCATAACTCTTGATTGATTAATTCTTCAGTCAATCACAAGTCCCAGTGAGCATATGCATAACTAATGGCCATCAGTGGGAGTTGATAGGCAGTGAATGTATTAAGAGAGCTGAGGATAGTGTGGAAAAGTCAGCTCGGCGTGTGTATTTTGGGCCGTGCGGGAAGAGATCGTTTTGTTTTTTGGCATATTCACTTGGAGAAAGTTAATGTTTGAATGAATAGGCAGCCAATTTACCATATCACACCCAGCTCTTTTCACAAGAGCACGTCACGTGATTGACTCTCCAAATCAGGATCATTCACTCGCCTAACTGCAGCACTCATGAGTTTTGTCTGCCACAATGTGTGTGTCCTTGTTATTGAATAATTTTAGTTGCCATGGCAGCAGACGAGTGGTCCTATTATATGCTGGAAATTTTGAAATTGCATAAAGGACCTTTTTTTTTTTGTGGACCCGTCTCACGTATGTTTGAAAAAGGCGTCGTTCTTCCGGTGATCTCTCTTCTTTCAGTTTGTGTTTCAAATCCCCGAAGTAATTATATTCAGAAAGGGAAAAACCCCAGAAAGAGGCTGAAAGATCAGCTGTAAAGAATGAAAGTCAATGTTAAGCCCTGCTCTGGGACCTCGGCGTGTTTTTAGGTTTATGAGAATGCAAATCATAAAATCACAGTGTTTTAACGTTAATGAGTTACAGGTTGTGAAATAAAGCCATAAAAGTTTGCCATAAATCAAACCAGGACCAGTAATCACAGTTTCTGCACACCAGAATAGCAAACAATACAAAAGGCTGCTTTTCCTTAGATGTTATGGTTATGTGTGTGTGTATTAGTGGGTAATGTAAATGTAAATCTCAAGGAATAGAGAACACACAACCATCTGGAATGAAAAAGCATGATAATAAATCTGGCTACGCTGCATTTACACCTGGAAAATTCATTTGTCCTCATGTTCTGTATTATACCTGCAGTGTAATTGGATTTTAGTTTTCATTTAAGTTATGCAAAGTAGGCGAGAAGTTTTGGGAGCTGTCGCTGTAAACAACAGACTGCCTCTTTAAGTGTGGGTCATAAGATTTAGTTTTAATTAGAGGTTGAAAGTGGCATTTTTATGACAAAAATATATTTTAACTGCAGAAGTTGTTGTCGCTTTTGTTGAACTTCAGCATGAAGCAACACTGTCAAAGCAGCGGCCGGTGTGAGATTGGAGGAATTCCCTAACTGCGCTGCCTCTTAAATCTTTAATTATTAAACTCGCACTCCCCCGGAGACACCTGTATCACATGTGCCTCAGGCATCAGTGTGCCACCATTAAAAACAGTCATAAAAATGCTAACGACGGCGAGGAACACCGCACGAACAAGTCAAAAGGGCAGGTATGGCTCCTCATTAGTGGAAAACTAGAGGCTGGATTGTCTGTAATGGTGCACCAAGACTGAACCACAGGCATCACCACACGCCATGAAGCTACCTCTTATTTACCTCCTGCTGGCATCCATGGGGGAGCTCACAAAATGTGCAGTTGGTTTCTTTCTGGTCCCCACTCCCCTCTCTTTTTACACTGTGCCAATTAGGAGAGCCCAAGTGACACCCTGGGCCATTTTTCTGAGCCATGGCTCGCAGGAGATACGTAATTGGAAAGAAGACACAGACCAGTGGGTCTCCTTCTCCTCTCTTCTGCTGCTTTATCTCCGCCTTCT